GTATAAACGTACTAATTTTTGTAGATATGGTCGCCCACACACGGCATTATTGGCAATATAGTAAAAAAAAGTATCTAAAATTCAACAAAACATTAGGTTACAGAAAATATTTTTCTTAATTCTTAAGATTACTGAGTACTTTAAAAATCATATATAAAAGACGCTCATGTTATATATTCAATTATTTTTACGTCTACTCTAAAGCCCCTATAGAAGAACATTTAAACATCAATCTGTAAAAAAACACGTTAACGACTTGAATAAACAGCTGTCTGGTATTAAAATGCATTTCTGCAATATTTTAAACTTAAAGTAAATAATATTTGTTTCAAATCAGATTAATTATACTTTAAATCAGCTAGTATTCTTCAAATAAAGTTTCAGAAAAGTACATTTTATTTTTGAAAGATTTTTTAAAATAAGAGAATTACAATGAAGGCTAAAAAAATAGCGTTAAATTAAAAAAAACATCCAGATATTTTAAAACGAGAACTCCTTCCAATCAATTCAAATTTGTTTTGAAATACAGCAAAGTATTTTGCGTGTTGGAAATTAAAATTAATCTATTAGCTTAAAGTTAAAGTAAAAGCCCCAAAAAGATTTTTCATTTTTAAAAATTCATTTTATACCTTAGGTATCGCAAATCTATGGAGATACCTAAAAACGTCTCTTATCTGTGGGAAGTAGATTGTACATTTACAATTTTGGCGTAAGGGGGAGTGGGGTGAAGCTGGTCGTCACTGACTATGCTAAACCTAGCTAATCTGATTTTTTATTTTTTTATTTTTTTTTTACAAAAAATATATAAAAATGATGTATCATGAAAATAATAAAAACAAAACAAAACAAAAAAAAAAAAACGAAAAACAACCAAATATTCAAACTAAAACAAAAATGTTATTTGGACCCATCCACCCAACAGAAAAAAAAGTAAGTGTGGCCAAATCAAGTCGTTCACTCAACAAAGGTGAGGTAAGAACAAAATTGTAGAGTGGGAAAATCAAAACTAACCCAGTCAAGATAAAAAGGAGATAAAAACAAGCAGGAAACTGGCAATCTTTACATTAAGGACCATAACAGAAGAGAAATATCGGGAAAATCAGTTACTCACTTTGCCTAGACCAGAGATTCACAAAATGGGTTCCAAGGAACCAAGGGGTTCCGCAAAGGAGTGTTTGGGGTTCCGTGACAAAAGTTCAGAGAAATAAATAAATGTTTTTATTTAACATTATCAAGGTTGGTAACTATTTCTAAAAAAAATAGTTGCCAACAGAAATTGTTCGAATGTCGTGATGTATCTTGTGATATCGTATATCAGTGAATGATAATTGTATATCACGCTACTGCTGAATTGAAAAGTAGTTATGTGATATAATAGTGATTGTGATATTTATGTACTATGACACCACATAAATCTGAAAGTTAATTTTCTTGCCATATTGGAAAAAGCTCTGGACGTTGACTCTCGTTGGCGTAACTTTCGCTTGTATACATTCCGGTTAAAAAAACAATACCAACCTACTTATGTGAAAGTAGAGTGTATTTTCCTACTACGCTGCCATAAAATCTAAATGTCGAAATAAACTTAATCCTGCTTCTGACTTGAGAATCAAACTTTCAAGTAAAGCCAAACATTAAAAAATTATGTGACAATATGAAACAGAAGCATTGGTTTCACATTGAATGTTCCCCAAAAATCTGATTACGTATGAAATTGTTCGTAATTCTGTTCCACATGTTGTGGGAAGTATGAAAATTAAAAAAATATCACACACACACATATATATATATATATATATATATATATATATATATATATATATATGTGTGTGTGTGTATGTATTATTTTTTAATTATTTTTTGAACGTACTTAAAAGTATTTGAAAATTTTGATATTACGACCATATAAAAGTATTAGTCTCTGCCCTCACCCCCCCAAATCTGAATCCAGAAAGGTTCTGCGTTTGAAAGAGTTCGGGAAAATCTGCCCCAGAGGAACGAAAAGAGTCTAGTTTAACCAAGGGATGGGTTCGTTGTGTCGAAAAGAGACTAAAAAAAGGAAATCAAAGCTGGCCCCTTTTATGCAAATAAGGCTCGCGACTTATTGGCGGGAAGGAGGTAGTTGGGAATTTGGTTTTGGTCAATTTTATTGAATCCGGTCTAGTTAAACCTGGGCTTGTAGTGGATCTAAAAAGTGTTGCGTGAATGTTTTAAATGTTTCGCTGAAAAGGAAACGTACAATATCTACAAACATAAATTTAAATAAAAAAATCAAATGATAACTATATTCAATTACGACAAAAGGATAGCTTTGGTACAACATATATATTTTTTATATGCAGAATATTACAATCTTGTTTTGTAAAGATGTGTGCGAAAGCTTGATCAGAGTATTTTTAAAGAGAAAAGTTCTTGTTAGTTTGGAAATGTTTCGTATGTTTGTAATGTAGTTTGTAAATTTTCGTACATGCATGAATGTGTGAATGTTTTCATAAGCGTCTAACCGCGCATGGTCAAGATGCGAATTCTTTAAGGTTACATTTTTCGTAGGCGAATGAAGAAAGAAAAAGAGAGCACGAACTCGTGTCTGATATTCATGATTAATGTAATCACGTGACAGGATCCTGGGAAAAGAGCGGGAAAACTTGACTTGGTCACGCGCTGGAAAAAAGACTTGTACATGGGTGGATTGCAACGCCCACTTGTGTGTTTATTGACCAATTAAAAGTTGAGATTTCCTGAAAATATGTATGAAGCTGGGTAAGCTCTTTGATTCACTTTTTGCACAGATTTGTACAAAATTCAACATTGATAAGAAAGTGGCAACGGGATGCTAAAAACTTCCCTTTGAACTGTTCTTAATTTCATGTTACTATTTTACATTTTAACACGTTTTGTTTTTAATTTTCTTCTCAACCATTCAGTCTCCTGGGAATTTTAACAATTATCATCCAATTAGTTTCTCCAAATCACCATCTTGTAATTTTATGCATGTAAAAGTTTAAACCATAAACATGGTCAGTGCTCTATTTCAACGTCAAGTGCAACTATTACAAGACATGACTGAATTAAATTGCCAATGGAATAACCGGGAAGAAAGATTGCTGTTATTTTATTCCAGATCATTCTGACTGAATTGAATCCCTTTAGTCATCAGTTGATACCAAAAATTTCTTTTTGGTATTTCGAAATGACTATAAGACATCTATGAACATATTTCGCAAGACTATCCGGGTAATTTGCAGTCTCAAAAAAAACTTTTAAAAATAAATTTCTTTTCAATTTATAAATTTATCTGGTTGTGTTTTTACTTTTTAGGAGCAGGGCGAAAGTGTAATAGCACCAAAGTTCGGACTCATTCGCGTCTCGGCTACAGCACGTCAAGCATTGCTGGCGTTGTTTGCAGACATTTGCCGTGGAAAATCCATGCGCGGAAGCTTACTTAGTTAACGGCCTTTTTACCGATCTTACTCATCTTAATTACTGCGCAAGGGTTAGGGATTTTGGTAAATTTGTTTAAGTTATTTTGAAAAGCAATGACAAGTGATTTTTTTTTTATAATAAAACAAATAATAATTAAATAAATAATAAAACAAATTGTAATTTTATTTTAAGGTATTTAATAATAATGCTTTGTAAAACTCCAAAATTTAATAAAAAAAAATCTGAACTTTTAAATTTGTCCTTGTTAATATTATTTCCTTTCTATTTTTATTTTGTATTTAAAAATTTATTTTGAAAATAATCATGCTTTTTAATGAGTCCGAACTGTTAATGTCGTTAACTCCAAAATGGTAGATTTTATCAAAATTTCTTTGTTATTTTCGAATTAAGCATGTGCTTAAATGTAACTATTAGGGAATTCTTTTATTACAAACTGAGCGCGGGTCCTAAACAGCAAATTACCCGAATATCCTCGTTCCCGTCTATCATTTCTTTCAAATGAAACAAAAACACCAGATAAATTTTAACGAATACAAACCATCACACAGATTTCTGATCGTTGTACTCTAACAAAGTCATAAGAGGAAAACCCTGTATGTTATGCAACAACGCGAGTCAAATCAATTCCATCACAAATTCAAAGAGACCTTATTTCTTCAGAAGGTTGTAATTGTACTTTTTCTCATTTGATATACGCCGCTCAATTTACTAAACATGACTCGATTTATGTAGGTTGCACAACAAAAAACATTATTGGCCACAGGTATGATGTCCGACACAACAACGTAACATCAACAGAACTTGGAACATTTTCACGAGGAACTGTTTATACATTCTGAAAAAATTTCCAGAATCCACCAACTTTTCAACCCTTATGCATGAAAATAATTACATATGCAAACTACTAAGCTCCCACCTCAGGGGAATTAGCAAAACGGCAGCTCCATAATTTTTATACTAAACTGTTTGATTAATTGCTTTTACTAACCAATCAACTTACGAAAAATGAGCATGTTGCCTTTCATTTGCGTCACATTCGCGCTGGCTGCGTTTCAATTGTTTATCGCGTTGATTACCTGTACAACCGTTTTTCCCAAGATCAACAACGTTTATCCAAAGTCTTGTATGTTTTATATTTTTATTATTACATGCAATTTTTAAACATATTTTGGAAATATTGTAAAACATTTTTGTCTGAATTTCTGGGATGAGTTATTTACACTATTTATATTCGGAATTTTGTCTTCATCTTTGTTGTTGTTCACACCGTTTCGGGCGGGCTATTTTGATCTGGTTAACCTACAGGGAATACTGAACTGAAACCTTTATTTAATCTATGGGGGTAGATTGTGTAGGGATATCGTCAGCAACAAAGTTTGAATATAAATATGGTTGAAGAAAGATTGTTGAAAATTTTTAAACAGTGTATTTTTCTTTCCTTTTAAATCTCACTCTACTCTAATAATTGAAAAATATTGGAAATGTTATGGCAATCATTTTGTTTATTATTATTCCGTACTAAGTGTTTTTCACTTTTTTTTTTTTTAATTTTTCAGGAATTTGCCATGAACTGGAAATTACTATATTTGGTTTCCTTATTCAGTTACTGTGGAACAAGTGCGCCACTAGGTAATTTGTACAAAAGTACTTTTTTGTATATTTTGTATATTTGCTGCGCTTCATTGTTTATGTTAGTGGTTCTCAACCGTTATTTTACCCATGGACCCCCTTTCCTTTCTTTTTTCTCTCTTGGTGAACCCCTTAGCTATTTGACATAAAATAACAATATTCTATTTTTCACTCATAAAAATTTTGAGGTTTTAATAATCAAAGAAATATTATATAATTAAACTTTATTTTTTAAATCAAAACTAATTTAAATGAAAATAAATACTTCTACAGTAATAATAATAATAAGTAATATTTTTTCAATCCAGATTTATTTAACTTTAAATTTTCTAATTTTACTCAAATTACGTGTCATAATTATATAATTTAATTTTAGAAGATTTTAAAAATCAATAAATTTGTTTTGTTTACAAATTTCTTAAAATTAAGAAAATGCGCGCTTTTAAGAAAATTTAAAAAATCAAGCAATTATTTGACATTCTAATCTATATATAATTTCTATCTGAAATACTCCAGAATATTTTACTTACTGGAAATTATAAATTTGATCATTTAGCTTTCAATTAAAGCTAAAATGAAGTCTTCAAGAATGATTTTTCATTTTTAAAAATTAAATTTAAACCTTAGGTATTGAAAATTCAGTGGAGATACCCTATCAAAAAAAAAAAAATTCCCAGGTCTTGTCATTGAGTCAGATTTGGTAAAGTGAACTGGCCCGAGAAGTTTTCAACACCCTTATACAAAAATGGAGTTGATTGTGAACTTAAGTTCCACTGCTGATTTCTACAATGTTAGTTGTTTATTTTAATTTTATTTATTTATTTTTACGCATACACAGAAACATACTTCATATAAACCAGGGGTCAACTTGGGTCCATGTAATGTTTCTGGGGGTCCACGAAGAAATCCCAAATGGTTTTTATTATTAAAAATTAAATATCTACTGTAATTTACACTATTGAAATATGAATGATTCTTTCTTTTTTTCCAGCAGCTTTTTGTATAAGTGCTTGCTTGATTAACCTGTGTATTTTAAACGTTATTACTTTTAATTCGATGTCTTTGTGTGTGTGTCGGTGCACCTGGGGATTGTTGTCCAATTTCTTTGTTCATTTCAAAGTAGCAAGAAAAATGAATGGATAAATTAAATAATAGAATAACTAGAAAAAAAAAACAACGTCAACTCAGAAGTCGTTTAAAAAAAAAAGTCAAATTAAACCTGGATGTATGTCACCTATAAAGTTTACAAAGACCAAAAAAGTAAACCTAAACCAGCCCCTCAAAAATCAACTAAACCCCTCAACATTTCGTTCTCCAACATCCGTGGCATTAGAACAAACTTCTGTAGTATGGAATCTTTCCTCACTGCAAACTGTCCGGATATACTGGCTCTCTGAGAGACCAACTTTGTCTCGTCTATCCCCTCCTCTGATCTCTCGATCACAGGCTACCGTCCTTTCCTCAGAAAAGACTAACCCACATGCACGGCCTTGGTGTCTACGTCAAGGACCATCTCCCTCTGGTCAGAGAGTTGTCTCTGGAATCGCCAGACCAGTCGCACATGTGTCTCCGTCTATCTCTTCTCAATGCGGTAAAGCTATCTCTTCTTCCTTTACCGCTCTCCATCCTCTCAAGACTGTGGGATACTCGATAGCATTTCGGACAGCATAAACAAGGCTCTCTCCCTCCACCCGTTTGCTCACATATTTGTGTTTGGCGACTTTAACGCCCATCATACCATGTGGCTTAAGGATGCTACTACAGACCACGCAGGCATTCAAACACTTAAATTTTCAGTTTCTCAATACCTCACGCAGATAGTTAACTCGTTTTGCCTTCAACCGGGAAGGTAAGCCCTCTCTTTTCGATCTGTGTTTTACCTCCATCCCCGAGTCTTGTAGCTCCACGAAACTCTGCCCTCTTGGTAACTCAGATCATGCTGTAGTATCTGTTAACATCTCCTTCAACTCCACCCTCATGCAAAGAACCTCCTACCACTAGAACTTTGTTCTACTATCAACGAACTGACTGGGACTCGTTCCGTGATTTCCTCCGCGATGTCCCCTGGGATGTTGTCTTTACGCTCCCCGTCCAAGAATGTGCTTCTGAGGTCTCATCCTGGGTTAAAGCTGGAATCGACGCTTTCATTCATCCCCTCAAGGAAATATAGGGTAAAGTCGCGCTCCCCCCTTGGTTCTCCGCTGCTTGCTCAGGCGCCATTGCCCATAGGAACCACTCCTTTCACCTATTTCGTAGCGACATGTCGGACTGCAATAGACGTCTCTTTGCCTCCGCCCGTAACGAGTGTAAGCGTGTCCTCAACTATGCTAAGTCACTATTTGCTACTCGGATGAAGGAGCGTATTGCATCTCGCAAATTTGGCTCCAAAGATTATTGGCGTCTCTGCAAGAGCGTATTGAACAATTGCAAACCCTCTATACCTCCTTTGTTCAACCAGTTCGAAGTCCTGACCTCCTCTGCCGACAAGGCTGAATGCTTTGCTCGGAAATTTTCATTCAACTCAACTCGACTCTTCCGGTGTACCCATACCCGATTTCCCTCTTAGAACTGAGGCCCTATTGAGTGGGTTACACATAACCCCGTCTTTGGTATTGGGCATTATCTCCAATTTAGACCCCAACAAGGCTAGCTGTGGGGATAGGATACTAGCCATTGTCTTGAAGAAATGCGCGCCTGAACTGGCGCCCGCCCTCTCTAAACTATATAACTACTGCCTCAAGGAATCTTGTTTTCCTGACTGCTGGAAGTCCTTTTCGATTGTTCCTGTTTTCAAGAACTCTGGCGACCCCTCTGACCCTTCTAATTACCGTCCTATCACTCTCCTACCCCTCTTCGGCAAAGTCTTCGGAGCCCTAATCAATACCGAAGTGGTTAACCCACTTACATCCCATGATCTGCTCTCAGACAAGCAATATGGCTTCCACTTTGCACGATCTACAGCTGATGTGTTTACGGACATCACTGAAACTGTCTACCAAGCTCTTCAAAATAACAGGGAAGCTCGTGCCGTGGCCCTAGACATCGCCAAAGCATTTGATAGGGTTTGGCATGCTGGCCTTCTTTGCAAGGTCCAGGGTTATGGCATTAAGGGTCGATTGTTTGACCTAATACAATCATTCCTGTCAAACCGTGAATTGAATGTCGTTCTCAACGGATTTTCCTCCAGTTCCTATCCTACGAACGCAGGTGTTCCTCAAGGCTCCATCCTAGGCCCCACTCTATTCCTTATCTACATAAATGACCTTCCTGACGTCATAAATTCCCAAGTCGGCATATACGCGGATGACGCCACAATTTACTCCTGACTCAAAACCAAATCTAGTGACGCTGGCCGTGCGTCTCGAAAAGGACCTCCAATCGGTTGTGAACTGGGGCAGGAATTGGCTGGTCAACTTTAATGCTTCAAAAACAAAACTGCTCTCTATTAATCACCACAGAGATCCTTCCCTGCCCTCCATTAGAATGTCTGACGCTCAACTTCTCGAGAGCTCCTCTCTGCGGCTGCTCGGTCTCACGTTGACTGCTGACCCGAGATGGAACAAATACATTGAGTCAAGTGCTTCGTCCACCGCAAGGAAAGTTGGCTGTCTGTGCCGCGCCAGAAAATCTTTCTCCCCGGAATCGATCCTTCAGATCTACAAATCAACAATTCGCCCTTGCATGGAGTATTGCTGCCATATATAGTCAGGAACCCTTTCTGTTTGCCTCGGGGTTCTTGATAAGCTCCAGAGGCGGATATGCAATATAATTGGCTCTGTTCTAGCATCTCGTCTACAGTCGCTCTCTCACAGATCCTCCGTCGCCTCTCTCTGTCTTTTTTACAAATACTTTCATGCTAATTGCTTCGAGGAGCTGCATTCTCTGGTTCCCAGACCTCATGAATTCAAGCGCCCTACGAGGCTGGCATCCCGCTCTCACCCTTTCACTGTCGAAACTCCTAAATGTAGCCGTCTCTTCTACTCCAATAGCTTCATGTCTCGCACCTCTCGCCTGTGGAACTCCCTACCCTATTCCAGTTTCCCTGAGAGCTATAATCTCCAACTATTCAAATGTAATGTCAATCTGATCTTGCTCCAAATCTTCTGTAACCCCTTGCGTCCTAGTGGCTTCTCGCCTTGTTTGGGGTGAAACGCTTAAAAAAAAATAAATTGCAACAAGAGGCAGAAAAAGCAACTACCCAGAACTGATCATCTAAAAATAAATGATTAAATTCATATGCGAGTTTTGATTAACTTCAAACGATTATAACTTGATAAATACGTTGGGACTAAGACCACTTTTGTAATCCTGAAACTACTAGATACAGCACCAATAACTTTTGGAAATATTCCAAAGATGCCCTTTCTAGTCCTCTGTGTTATCAACCTTATCTTTTAAGTAAGTTTCAATAGTGTTGTTTAAAGCAGCTATTAAGACTTAAGAGTGATTAAATTTAAATCGCTAATTAAAAAGATTAAACATGAGTTTTGATAAACTTCAAACGATCCTAACTGGTATTAGCACAAAGACCAGTTCTGAAATTCTGATTCTTTCAGACTAAATATATCGCTGAGAAAGGTCCCAGAAAATGCCAAATATCTGCCTTTGACCCCATTGTGTAAAGTTGACCCCCCCCCCAAAAAAAAAACAGAAAATATTTAGGACAACCTAATAATTAACTTTTGACATGTTATTACTTACGTTTATTATTATAGTGGATACTCGTATTTGAAATAGACGTCCCATTTTTTATTTTTAAGTGTGTATTACGTCTATTGGCTTGTGTATTTAAGAAATCTTAAAGAAAATGCTCTCTAACAGAGATTGACCATGCATCTCCGTTTGGAGTCCCTGTTAAGCCCAGTGTGCTTGACCATCTGTTCCTTTGTGGTGAAGCAGTAAAGTGTCTCAGGTTAAACGGTGGCTCCCTATGTTCTGAGGGATGCAGGTTCAATTCCCGTGGATGGTCACAAATCTTTCTGGTAGGTGAAAATACTGTT